GTTTTTTGTCCCCGCCCCCGGGGGGGGCCGAGCCCGGGGGAAAAAAAAAAAAAAAAAAAAAAAAAAAAAAAGAAAAAATAAATAAATAAAACACACAAACTTCTCCGATGCTGAAACTCCTCTAAAGTTGGACTTTTGTAGCTTCCGACGGAACGATGAGCGCGTTTAGTTCGGTAGGAGTCGGATCGCGTTAGCAGAGTGGCACCGAGCCCGGTTTGTGGAGACTGGGAGGAGAGAAGCTCACAAGTCGGAGCTGAAGGGGCTTCGGGGTGGCGGGCAGGCTGGCTCTGCAGTCGGTCGGAGCTGAGAGGGAGGCGGAGCCGGAGGCAAAGTACTGGAGAGCATAGGTCGACTTGTCCGGGTCAGCGGATCTCAAACTGAGGACTGAGGACTGCTAACCCCCGCAAAATGAATGAATGACTGAATGAATAAACTCATTAATAAACTTTAACCTGCAGACTGCTTGGAGGGGGGGGACATAAAACGCTCACAATCTTTCACTTTTCTGAAATCTGGCTTCCATTAAAGCATTTAAACCGATCATTATAGCCACCCGCCTAATATTGTGTCGCTCTCCCTACATGGCAAAACAGCCCTGACCTGTTAATGCACTAAAATGATAGCACTTTGTGAAGTACAACCCAAAGATGCTCGATTGGGTTGAGTTCTAGAGCTTGTTCTACACATTACAATATTTTTAGGCATTTTTGATCATTTCATGTAAGGTTGTAGCTATATGTTCTGTAACAATGCTTTGAAAGGTGGGATGACTGCCACAATAAAAAAAAAAATAAAAACATAAAAATAGATGGGGGGACCTTTCCAACATACTGCCTCTGCTGCCTTGGCTTGTTCCTGGTACCATGTGTTTTCCAGACAAGTTGTGTGCATCCAGCTGTCTGTGTGAAAGAAGCTTTTTCCCCCCCTTCCTCTATGGTCCAGTTTTGATACACGTGTTCTCTTGGAGGTGGACAGGGGTCAGCATTGATAGCCTCACTGGTCAATAACTCTGAAACCTTTATGTCAGAATTATCAATTATTTGTTCAATACCAGCTTCCTTCCAAGATACTTGTCCAAGTATCTTGTCACTTGGACAAGATACTCAATGCAAAGTTCTCTTCTTTTAAGAGGAATATAATACTTGTGTCTAATTTAAATTAATACTCTTACAGGTAAAATTGTCATTTCACTTTTCATATGTTATGTTTTATGTTGTGGATTTATGTTTTCTAACTTCTGATTTACAGTAAATGTATCAGGGATGATAAAAGTCCAAGCTGACCTGAACTTGCTTGTCTTTCTTCTACACACATTAGGGGGTGGTTGTCAATAAAGAACTCATGCAGTGCATTATATCAATCAATCACATTTTATTTGTATAGCACATTTCAGCAGCAAGGCATTTCAAAGTGCTTCACATAATTAAAATAAAAACAGCATGTGGCATTGAATAAACAGTGAGAAAGAGAAAGAGATAAAAAAAAAAGATTAAAAAAAGATAAAAACATATATGTTCCCTTAAGGCTGTAAAAAGATGAGTGAGTGCAAGCAAACAGCAGCACATGTGTGAGAAATGAATATGAGTTTTAAAAGTCTTTATAACCATGGAACCTTCACATTTTTTTCTTGTCTCAACCATAAACAATCACATATTTTCGTTGGATTTTATATGATAGACAAATGCTAGGTATAAAATCATAATGTGAAGCAGCGGATAAAAACTATATACTAATCCTCGTTTTTAATCAAATGTTTTGTACATTTTTTTGCAAGTAAAACTATGAAAACTGCTGTATACACTTATACTCAGATACGCCTAAATGCAATCCAATGCAAGAT